TTGAAATGTTTTAGCTTTCAAAAGCAAGGTTGTCTGAAATTTGAGGATTAATATTGCTGTGAGGACACCGGGGTGTAAATACAACTTTGTCCCCTTTTCTCATGACTATTAATACTTTAATTAGTGGTTTTAAGACGCCTTGATATTTTTTTTTTATGTGGAAAGCATATGGCCATAAAAGATAGAGTGTGTGCCTGGCAAAATCATCATGTGTCTTAAAAACTTTTATTATGTCATTAGTTTTGTTAATTTTTTTAGTACTTTCTGTTTGTATTAATATTTTATATTAAGTTTTGTTACTACCATACTAACATTTAGCAGGTTCATTGCAGTACTAAATTTGCATACTACAGAAGATCCGCACATAAGGCCTCGAGAGTGACATCAGGTCGCTCTCTATCTGCTCAATTTCTTGATGGTATAGCTGCATCTCCTCTTCAAAGCTCTGAAAATATCTGTAAGGTAACTGAATGGCCACAGAACAACATGTTTACAAATTGATATTATTATGTTCTCAGTACAGTATTATTATTATTATTATTATTATTATTATCATTATTATTTTTATTATTATTAATATCATCATTATTGCTCAATATGATATTTATGATTCTGAACTTTAAATCTTGACATCAATATCGTCAATAATATTGTCATTAATATAATTGTAATTAATATTGCCATTAATGCTATTACCAAAACCTTCACATTATTGTAATGTCACCATCAATATTATCACTAATATACTGCAGTAATGTTCACTAGTATCATCACCAACATCATCACCACTATCATCACCACCAATTACTCTAAATGAAATCGTGATTATAATAAGTACTTACTCTGCAGGGGCGGTATGGTCCATCTGCAGGGACAGGGTACGTCATGGGTTCGGTGTGCCATGTCACATTTTTTAGTTCATATGCTGAGTCCGTCTAAAGCTTATAGATCGCCATGGTGTTCGTCTGCAGACTGTTGGCAACAACGGACAGCAGCTGACGTAGAGCTAGCATGTCTTCTTTCACTTTGTGCATCGGCTTTAGTGAGATACGGTCGATCTCTTGAACTATGGCCTTCTGTTTTTTCACATAATCTCTGAAAGAATTGTATAGAATAGTAAATATCCTTGTGTAAGATACGATATATAAAGATCTGTCAAACTATCAATTTCCTTTGACAAAACACTGTTGTATGCCCATATAGTCATGATGTGCCTATATATGGTCATGATGTGCCTATATATGGCCATGATGTGATGTCATCATGACCATATTAAGGCATGTCCCATGTTTTTGTTAAATAAACTTTGATAGTCTGGACAAGGCTTAATATACCCATATATAGACATGATGTGCCTATATAAGGTCATGATATGTCATCAACCATATTTAGGCATGTCACATGTTGCTGTCAAACAAAATTTAATAGCCTGCACTGGGCTTTTACACTACCCTTGAAGGGATTAGACCAGACGAATACAAAACTTGTATACAGTACTACTCAAAAAAACAAAATGGCTGAGAAGTTACTGCGATACATGCTGCATGATCAAGGTTGCTTCTGCTTGTGGCAGTTTTATTTTAAAAAAAAATTGTTCATCCAGTTGTTGACTCATGGGTATATGTTACAATTATTATTTTCTGAAATTTAATCTAAATTATATTAATGTAAATGTTGTTGCTACACTGACCAATCAGCCATGTCTGTTTTGGTCACATGGATAACTGATTGCAAATTAACGCACTCTGGTTTACGTTACTTTCCATTGTCAATAAGTCTATTTTTACGAACCAGTCGAATGAAAGTAATACTCAACAACAAATCGCTGTCAATGAAACAAACCAGTCGAATGCTATTGTACAATCTGTGTACAAAAATGTAAATAATCTGAATAATATATTATGAAACAACATAAATGTAAATTGTAAAACTTGCAAAAAAAAAAAAAAATACTATGTACTGTACACTTACATAAATTCATTCACTGACTGTTACATCAATTACATATACTGTATATATAATGGTATTTTATTCAAAATTTACAAAAAGCATAAAACATGGCAGCCAAAAATGTTTAATTACGAATTATGTTACATCAAAATAGACAATTTACATTAAGATTTACATAAAATTATTTAGATAAAAAACAAGAGAAAAGAACAGAATTATAAATAATTACTATATCAATCATTTGTTATTTTTATAATTATTATATTATTATAAATGATTGCTACAGTAATTATTATAATTATACGTATTATAATTATTATTATTATTAAATAATTGAATTTATTGCATAAAAAACCATTAAATTAAAGAATTACGAATTACGCTCAACATCAAAAACATTATACTTGTTATAATTATTATTAAAAATTGAATTTATTGCATCAAAAAACTATTAAATTATAGAATTACGAATTACGCTCAACATCAAAAAGCATGAAACAAATCAGATAAAAAAAAAATCTTGCACACTACACACATTATTAAAATAACAGAAAAAAGGTTTACCAAATTCACACCAAAAAACACAAGCATTCACAAAAGGGCAAACAAGTAGTAAATGAAACTCCAAAAGGACACAATCAAAGCAAAGGAAATTAAAAAACCAAAAAAACAAACATATCAAGGTATTTTTAGAATTTTTTAGAAAAAGCGGGAAGGGGGGGGGGCGGTCACAATGGAAATTTAAATTTCTGCCTAATTTGTGCCAGAATGACCCAATAGTCAGCCATACAATTTAATATTTTTTAATTCTCATTTTTCATTGTTTTTAATGTTTTTGTTTTTTAATGTTTTTTAGTACTACATTTAAAACCTTTATTCTATTATTATTATTATTAGTAGTATTATATGAATGTATAATAAGTAAATAAATATATTGGAATGGGATATCAAGTGGTACTCTGCAAGTGGTGGCTCTGCTGCCAATTTTTTGCAATTTTGTGGTAATCTTGGAGTAATAATGAATGTCACAATCAATAGCAACGAGTAACAATTGCGATATCGATAAATTATCACCTAGTGGCGAGCTTTCACACACGATTGTGAAGTGCGACTGGGTGTGGCAATTGATACAACGGATCGCAATGCAACGCTTGCCTGATTAGGGTACAAGATAAACCTTTGTTTTAGTCGCTTACCAAGCCCTCCCCACCCCCACAGGCTTCAGCTGGTAAAATACAGTATTGATGGTAGTTTAAATGTTCTATACACTCTGACTCTTCTTCTTCTGGAAACCTACCTTGTACTTGTGCTTCCATTAGTAGTGCTGACTGTATTAGTTTTCAATGAAGCTGGATCTACCCCTTCTAATCCTTTACCAGCTGTACTGACAGCAGGGCAGGGGGTGTCGCGGTTCCTATTGATAAATAAATAGAAATGTTCAGCCCATGAACAGAGAATTCTTTGACAATCACTGAGCAATCTTACGTTAGTATTAAAATAAGAATCCTACCAACAATTTCTAATCCGGCTCCAAGACTAGGAGGTTTTTTTGCACCAAGACCACCTATACCCAGGCCACCAGTTCCAAGACCACCTGTACTGAGGCCACCTGTAAATGCTACTCCTCACAAAGTGAGACCTGTTCCTGTTGTTCCAGCAAAGGTGTTGATTGTGCCTCCTAATGTTAAACCGCATGCAGTTGTTGTAGCAGAAAATGAAAGACCTCCTAGAGAAGAGTAGTAGTTATGTCTGTAGATGTTGCAATACCACCAAGCTTCAGTGTTGTTGCCACTTGCCCAATAGTTTTACCACCACCAAGATTTAGGCCTGTGGACCCTTGACCACCTAACTTGAATCCTCCAGAAGTTAGACCAGTAGTTGAAGTAGTGTTTGGAGTAATAAACGATCCAATATATGAAGAAATTATGTATTTAAAAAAAAACAAAAATGTAAAAATAATAAATACTTATTAAACTCAATGGTGTATTTTATCATCATTAGTAAAAAGGGTAATCAAAGAATCTCACTATCACTAACAATAAAGTCTTCATTCAATTCATTTTAAAATGTTTTTTAAAAATACAAATAAAATGCTGATACTTTTTCAATTTAATATAAATCACTTAAAAATGTAAAGCGATCTTGAAATCAAAAACTTACTGAGGTATTAACAAAAATAGATAAAATTTATTTATATTTTAAAACTATGATCATTCATTAATTAAATAATAAAAATTTTTAGATATCTTGTAATTTAATAACAAAGTATATGTATTTACTAGAAACCGGTTGGGTTGGTGTCGCTGAAGTACCAATGCTAAATCCACCTCCAACAGTTCCTGAGAGTAGAATTTTTTCCAGCCCTATATGAAGAAAAAAGATATATTAATTTTATAGCTGAATATCTTGAGAATATAAAATATTTAAATCATCAATAAAGATAGTAAATATAAATTCATTAAGCATCAAAATCAATAATAAATAGTTCCCAGCCACGTATAAATAGTTAAAATTACAAACATGTAGAAAATTAACATCACATTTATGTTTTTTTTTTGTCTTTTTGTATTAATCTTGCAACAGACTTTTACGGAAGAAGTAGGCCTTGGCCTAAGCTTAGACCTACTACCTAGCCCCACCTTCCATAAATGAGAGTAATGTATAAAATAATACGATTTTCAACCCCTGATTTATATGAATATAAGTCATTTTAATACCCTTGACTTCCAAAACTGAAGCCTCCACCAGTTTGTCCACCTAATAGCTGTTCCTCTCGTATTTACAGCTGACTGTCCACCAAAAGAAAAGCCTAGGCCTACCCTAGTTCTAGGCCTAGTAGTAGTCTAGGCCTAGAAGTATTAGCCTAGCCTAGTAGTCATATTCTTAATCTTACTAAAAGTCTTAGGCATAGCATTTTCAAATATTTTGTAATATTGCATATTCATATGTTTGTACAAGCAGCTCTCTTTTTGCAGACAAAGCACGTCTACTCTATGCTTAGCCTGTCTGCTGTAGGCTACTAGGAATACCAGTCAAGTCGCCCCCTTGTAAAGTTTCCCCCTGCAAAGTCGCCCCTTTTCAAATCGCCTCCTAACCAAGTCGCCTCCTAGCCAAGTTCTTATACACATCTAGATGTGTATAAGAGACAGCCCCACCCCCATGACTAATATTGAATATCATATTAATATTAACTAACCTTTGAAACTCATAACTCCCATAATAGATACGGTACTTGTATGATAAACACGGAATGTTTTCAGTGAATTTCTAATAAAAATTATGAAATCTGAAAGTTGTGTTTAATAATAATAATAAGACTTGACTGGATCCCCTGCAGGCCAGCCCTATCCTCTGTATGCCTAGGGCCTAGGTTACTTACTAGGCCTACTGGCATCATTCATATGTCTAGGGCCGGGTCCATGACCTAGCCTATATGTCTAGTTTAGGACTCCTAGCCTTATTTTGTGTTGATAGATTATTCTTGATTTGATATTACTTTAAACAAATAATTAATTGATCTACCATGCCTAATTTATACTTATCATATGAAAGAAAATGAGGTAAATACTAACCTGCAAATAATAATAAACATTTCAAATTCCCTCCTCGCGATGCTGGCTCAGTGTAGTGGCTGTTGAACACTTTCAGCCAATCAGCGAGCTCTATTTCAAGAACAAATGTATGGAGGCTTATACTGACCTGTGTAGATTTGAGTAAAATAATACATTTTGAATCTCAAAAAAGAAAAAATGCTCAAATCATTTTCATTGAGGCATATTATTTTCTAAATTTACATAAAATCATGCTTCCAATGATACCAAATTTGCTTTGGGGAGAATTTTTTTCAGGTAAAAATTAAATACGAGCATACTAATTAAAGAAAGAGGCCTAGGCCTAGGCGTGGCAAGGCTAGCTTAGGCCTAGTTATTATTAAGTTCTGCTGCATAGCCCAACCATGGGCCAACCGTGAATTGACAGGTTTTGTAGAAAAGAAAAATCAAGATAATTATATTAACAACAGATGTTTTTTCCTTGGTATGTACGAGTTTTAAATTTTGTTATCAACACTGCTAGAAAGATGTTTTTGAAGTAAAGGAGGCTCTAGGCCTAGCTAGCCTTGCTAGCTAGGCTAGGGGGCTAGGGCCTAGGCTAGGCCGACTAGCCTAGGCCTAGATAGAGGCCTAGGCCACGCGCTACGACTAGCCTTAGCCTAATAATTAGGTAATACTAGGCTAGCTAGGGTAGGTTAGCCTAGACTCTCTCACCATGCTTTCGTTTCGTTTATTTATTTGACCAAAAGATGATCGGGGGCAGCTTAAGCAAACAAATCACTATAACTTTTTCAAGCCAGCTTCCCCCTCCCTAATAAAATATGCAATACGATAAAGAAAACAATTTAAATCACAAAAGACATAAAAAAACATCAAGAAGGAATTTTAAAAAAAACAAAAACAAGTATGTATAAATAAAAAAAATGAAAATAAAACACCCAAGAGAAATGACAATTTAAACATTAAAATTACATTGAGAAAACATAATTACATTGTGTGAAAAAAAGTATGAAACGCATTTAAAAAGGATCTAAGTGACTCGCAGATCAAGACATCTTTAAGGCTATCAGGCAATTTTGACCAGATTTGGGGGAAAAGCACTGTAACAGAATTATGATGAACAACAGTACGAGAATACAAATGATTAAATGTAAGGGTAGTTAGATGTCTAGTATTGACTGATAGATATTCTTTTATTATTGAACAGTCAATATGACCAAAAAGGCATTTACAAACAAAAGAAATTAAAATCAGTTCCCGACGGCATTCAAGCGATAATAGTTTAGTGGATTTCAATCTGATATCATATGGGATTTCACCTCTACCAACTCTCATGATTCTACGTGTGGCATATTTTTGGATGCGTTCTAAACGAAGACGCTGTTTTTTAGTCTGGGGCATCCATGCAGGTAGCCCGTAGTCTAAGTGAGGCAATACCAGAGACTTATATACAGTAGAGAGAGTAATGTTTGGCTTGAGGCAAATCCAGCAATAAAAAATATCAGACCCAATAGCTTATTGCATTTACTGACTATAGTATCAACGTGGTCATTCCACGTGAGTTTATCATCTATCGTAAAACCCAAGTACTTATATTTTTTAACAACATTCAAGTGTTTCACCATTAAGGTTATATTCATAATGAATTGGGTTTTTCTTTTTTGTGATATGCATCACTTTAGTTTTTCTAACGTTAAAGGACATTTTATTAGATTCAGTCCAAGCCCAAATAGTATTTAAATCTGCTTGGACTAGCTGGTTATCGAGAGGAGAGTAAATTGGCCTATAAAGTAACAAATCATCAGCATACATGACACAATGCGAGTTTAGATTATATGTTACATCATTTAAGAATAAATTAAACAACACAGGTCCTAAGACACTGCCTTGGGGCACACCAGAGTTTGCGTACTGTTTTCTGTTCTGTTCCTTTAAACTGTACACTTTGGGTCCTATTAGTTCGGTAGGATGACAACCACTGCCACAAGGGACCCCTTATATTGAACTGAACAGCCAGTTTTGTTAAAATTAAGTCATGTTGCAACTTATCAAAGGCCTTTACATATCAAGAAATATGACATCAATAACAGGTGGACAGGGTTTATCTAAAATCAGAGACCATTTATTAATCGTGTTTGTAAGCTGGGTAATACATGATTTTCTTTTTACAAAACCATGTTGGTACTCATTTAAAAGAGAAAAATTTGTAGCATGCAATATAATAGATTTTTTAACAATTTTGTCTAGTGTTTTGCATACAATTGAGGTGAGAGCAATAGGTCGATAATTTTGGACAACTGAAGGGTTCCCAGATTTTAAAACTAGCACAATAGTCGAATGCTTCCAAGCTTTAGGCAGTGTACCAGAGAGGAGGGAAAGTCGAAAAATAGAAAAAAGAGGAAATGAGATATTGGTAGAAATGTTTTGCAAGAGTCTAGGAGAGAGTTGGTCAGGATCAGGGGAGGATGAAACCGAGAAAGAGCAGATAGCAGATTCGACATCTTGTGGGGTAAACTGAATATTTGTTAATTCGGGAATGCCAAAATCATAATCAAGATTCCCAGAAGGCGCTACAGCATGCTGCTGTATGGCCAGGGTAGACTAGACCTAGGTTACAGCATGGTTACAGGTAGCAGGACTAGGCGCTAGGCCTGGGCCCTAGCTTCCACAGCATGACTCCAGCTGGTTGGATGGTTCTTCTGACAGACATCATACACGCATAGCCTCTAGGGCCTAGCCTAGTAGTAGTTCTGTTTGTGTGGTAGTGTTGGTATGTTGAGAAAACAATCATCTTGATGAAACCATAGAGAAAATAGAAATTTTCTCTATGATGAAACTTATGTCAAAGATTCTACAACATTAAAACAATGTTAATTTGATTGAAATCTTGCTGGCCAAGTTAATTTTCTGATTTTTTTAAATATTTGATTTTTCCTGGAATGTGGTACATTATAGTACAG